AAAGTATTTGTTTTCTGTGTTTATCTTATCAGTCATGTGGGAATGTACTTTTATTTAAGTTATTTATTCTGGGGAAAGTTGTTTGAGGTAGTCTCCAGCAAACCTTTGTTTGAAGTTATAGTATTATGTGCGTTATCTCTCTATTCGGTTTTGATTTCCGGCACAACGTTTTGTTATGTATGATGTTTATTTTGCACTATCCCGTAAGGTGCCAGAGCCAGCCACGCCCATGTTGTGAAGTAAGGGGGACCGCTGTTGCCTGTGAGTAAATAAAGTGCCGCTTTGAGTCTCCATAACCCTGCGTCCGATGCTTCTTGCCCTCTGCAACACTCCCTATCACACATCAGAAACGCAACGCAGAGTACCAGGGAGGTGTAGAGGGATTCCAGCAGGCAGCGGGTGCCCAAAACCGGGCATTACCGGCAGTGTGGGTTGTCAATATTTAAAATAATAAACAAACAACTTTTAATCAGCTAAATTGTGTAGTAGATGGTTTTAAGCAGTATGCCTACATGTGTGGTAAACGGAACAAATCTACCCTAAGATCAGTTCTAGGAGATGATTTATACTGTCCCGACATTTTACCGTGGTATATGGTAATTTAGCTGTAAGGATTTCAGATTTCAAAAATACCTCCCAAGCCAAGACTAACAACTATAAAACTATTCATAAATAGTTTACCAGTTTCACTACATTGCTTGTACAGAAGCTCTCCGGGTAACGATAGTCTGAGTTATGAGACTTTGACCTTACAATGGGTAAATGTCTTTCACTTTCAGTACATAATTCCATAAATTAAATGAGATATTCAACATTTTATTATAAAATAGGCTTTACGGTGATTTTTTGCCCAGTTGTAGGCTAATGCAAGTGTTCTAAGCATGTTTAAGGTGGGCTAGGCTAGGCTATGATGTTTGTTAGGTTAGGCGTACCGTATTAAAATGTATTTTTGCCTTATGATAGGTTTAATGGAACGTAATCCCATCATATTTGAATTTGTTGCGATACAAATTATGTATGGGACTTTAAAATGTAAAGTGAGTATATATAATAATGGTCAAGATGTTTATTCATGTATTTATGCACAAATGTGGCACTGAAATTTGGCACTATACACACGTGGACGAACTTGTTGGTATCCCTTCCACAAAAAAACACAACTATCTCTGAAATAACTTGAAACTGACAGAAGTTTAATGGAATCCTTTATTGTTTTTTCCATATTTAACACAAATCAGACCTTGCTTTTGATTATCGAGTCAATTGAATATTTTATATAATTAAGCAAATGAAAATGGCATGGACAAAAACACCGTAAGGTAGTCTTGAGACTTCATTACCAGATGCACCAAAGCAGCCCCAAACAAAACCGAGCCTCTCCCTGTTTCACAGTAGGTATGATGTTCTTTTTATTCAAAGCTTCATTTTTTCCTTCTATAAACATAGAGCTGATGTGATTGGCCAAAAGCTCCAGTTTTGTCTCATCAGTCCAAAGGACATTCCCCCTGATACTTTGGGGCTGGTCAGCATGCATTTTGACGAATTCCACTCTGGCTTTTTTATGCTTTTCTGTCAATAGTGGAGCCCTCCTGGGTCTTCTTCCATGGAGCCCATTATTGTTCAGAATGCGACACATGGTGTGATCAGAAAGTGACGTACCTTGACCTTGGAGCTCAGCTTGAATGGTTTTGGATGGTTTCCTTGGCTCCTTTTCTACCATCCACACTATCCTTCTGATCAACCTGGGGTTGCATTTCCTCTTGCTTCTGGTCCATGGTCAGTGTGGTGCACACAATGATAGTAGCATGTTCTTTCCCTTTAAATAGGCTGAA